GCATTCTTGCTCTTTATTAGCATTTCCAGGACCCTCTAGCAAAACTCTCCAGTAAAAGCTCTATTTTCTTGAATCCCAAGCCATTCAACTTTACTACCTCCAAACCTCTCAAGTGATCTCTTCCCATTTGCTGATGGTTTTGGCATCTGGTAAATGCCTTATCATATCATTAACTGAAATCAACCAGTTCAGGGGTTGATTATCCAATAAATGAGGTAAGCATAGTTGATTACCCAATAAGCATACTTGTGCTTACTTACTAATCTGTAGTGGGTAATTTCACATGAGCTTCTCCACAGAGATGTGGTAAAAACCATGTGAAACTGACATGTGAAACTATTCACTACAGATTAGTAAATAAGCAAAAGCAAACTGTGCTTACCTTGCTTACTGGGTACTCTGACCCTGGCAGGGGTTGACAATTTGAAAAGCAGCTTTGATTCTGTAAGAAGGTGCTGTGTAATTAGGAGAGAGACAGATCCCAGCTACACCTAAAAGCAGAATCTTTGATGTGGTTAAAAAAAAAAAAAAAAAGCGAAAGTGTTTATTACAGATTAGTAAGTAAACACGAGTAAACGCAAATGTACCTTGCTTAATGGGTAATCCACTCCTGCCAACATCCTAAACTACATCCCCCTTGATCTTTTTGTCAGTGCTCCCACTCCCTGGAAAAAAAAAAAAATCCCCAAATTACCTGCTTTCTCTCTGCCTGCTTCTCAACCACAGTGAATTTACACAGTATGCCAAGTCTATTAACTATAGCATGCATTCCTAATCACCAGCCTCTGATGATTGATGTAACCTATTAATGCTGACTTTTCTACCTTAAACATAATTTCTTTGCAAAGGGTCTTTCCAAAAAAATCCCAGACCACATTAGCATCCCATTTTATATATTCATACTGTACATGGTATTCTTCTGTTTAAAATACTTTATCAGACTTGTAATCACTTGTTTAAAGTCTGTATTCTTTGCTAGATTATAGGGCCTGTGTTCATCTTAGTTAACCCTCCATCTCCTAGCATATTGTTGTTATTAAGTGCCTTCGAGTTGATTCTGACTCATAATGACCCTGTACAGGGTTTCTGAGGCTTTTAAATCTTTGCAGTAGCAGAAAGTCTCAACTTTCTCCCGTGCAGCAGCTAGTGGGCTTTGTGGTTCACGGTCCTGCACTTATCCTACACAGCCACCATACTCCTCTACTAGCATATTGAGTTGTTTCCGATTCACAGCGATCTTGTATAGTGTTTCTGAGGAGCACTAGTGCGTTGAACAGCTGACCTTGTGGTTTGTAGTCCAGTGCTGATCCTACAATGCCCCATCCTTGTTAAAGGTATAGTCTGATTACCAACATTACCTTTCCTATTGGGCATTTCCAGAGTACAGATCCTTTTTAATTACAGAGGAAATATGAGGGGGCTTCAAAAAGTTTATGAAAAAATTCTATTACCTTTCAGTTCTATTTTTCCATGAACTTTTTGAAGCCCCTGCATATACCTATGTTTCAGAGTATAATTTGAATAATGAATCAACTGTAATGCAGTATTCCCAAAGGGTTCACTTGACATGTTTGAGATTTTAGTTTTGAAAATTTTGAATGAGTGAACATACGAAGTATGTAGTATTATTCTATTTTCTAAATAATCACTTTATTAAGAGGCATCTCCATTCCTATTGCTGCTGAGTCAATTCTGACAGAGTATGGGACAGAGTATAGTTTCCAAGAATGTGATCTTTACAGAAGCTGAGTGATACATTTTTTGAGCCACAGATCTTTTGGTTAGCAGCTGAGTGCTTTAACCACTGCATCACCAGGTCTCATTTAGAAGTATTGATACATTAATTGGAATGCTAATGAAAAGAATGACTAGAAATGTTAAATTTATTACATTTTTGTATATCCCTTATATAGAGACCCCTATGAGAACTAAGGAGCTCTGGCAGCATAGTGGTTACGAATTGGGCTGCATACTGCAAAGCCAGCAGTTCGAAACTACCAGCTGCTCCACGGGAGAAAGATGAGGCTTTCTGCTCCCATAAGGATTTACACCCTCGGAAACTCTGTACAGGGTCACTATGGGTCGGAACCGACTCGAAGGCACTTAACAACAACAAGAACTACCTCCTTTGATTAAATGCCAAGAAAATAATGAGATTCTCCAGATAAACATAGATCCTTTATTCTTTTATCAGAGAATGAAAACATAATTTGAATATTCTTGGAATCTACTGGATGGCAACTGCCTTAGAAGCTTTTCTTTGGTTATGCTAAAATTATTAGTTTCCTAATATTTTCCAGATGAGCTCTGAGTATGATAAATAGATGCTTAATAACTATGTTTATTATATGATTTTAGTAGAAAAAGGGCAGGATTTGTAGTTACAAAGATTCAAATTAAAATATCAATTATGGAATTCGCTAGTTCTGAATCTATTTTTTTCCTTATAAAATGGTCTTTAAAATTTTTTGTATCTCAAGAGTTGTTGTGAGGTTTAAGTGAGACCAGGGTAAAGCAGCTGGCACTGTGACTGGCACAGAGGAGGTACTCAAAAGAGAGAATCCCCACTATGGATTTAAAATATGTAATCTCTATGATCCATCAAAGGGTGCCTAGGAAGGCAGGCCTGCTATCTAGTTCCACAAAGTCCCAGTCTTGAAAACCTCTGGAGCAGTTCTACTCTGCACACATGGGGTCACTGTGAGTTGGAATTGACAACTAAGAAAAACAAGAGTCTGTATGATACCTTCATTTTGGAGAAATATGTAAAAATTAAAATTACAGTGCAAAATGGCTTGATACTGGACAAATAATGCTGAAGCACCTAAGATTTTTTTTAAAAAAACTTTTTATTGTGATTGAGTGAAGGTTTATAGAGATCATCACTTTTATATCCAACAAATCACATACTTTGTTTCATCTTGATGATTGCAATCCCCTCAATGTAATAACATCACTTATCCCACTTCCTTCCTGTGTTTCTTGTTTCTATCCTTCTTCTTTTCTAACTCTTCTGAACTTTGTCCTTAGGAAAGTGCTACCCGATGATCTCAAATGGTTGATTATTCTATGGTGTATGTACCTCACTAGTGGTGCTGTCTCCCCAATACACCTACCTATTGCTTGGCTGAACACTGAACCACAGGGTAAAGCAACTAAGATTTTTAAATTAGTCTCGGCATTTAGCTTCCCAATGGTTAATGTGGCTCAAGTTCATTCAGTTCAAGACAAGTCTGAGTACCTATTAAGAGCCAGGCACTGTTAGGCCCTGGTGATGAATTACAAAACAAGACCTTTTTTCCTTAAGTGCTCATGGTGTCACTGAAGAAGCCTTTGAAAGTCAAATTTTAAACAAATTCTCTTTATATTTGTTTATTCTGTTGGAAAAATAAAACACTTGTTTTTCTGATTCCCCAAACTCTTGAATCTAATTTCTTAATAAGCTCTAAGCTTAAGGGATAAGAGATTTCTGCTCCAGGAAAACTTACGGGCTTCTAGTCCATTCCTTCAAGGAACTGTGGTGGCATTGTAGGATAAGCACTGAACTGCTAACCACAAGGTTGGCAGTTCAAATTCACCAGCTGCTCTGTGGGAGAAAGATGAGGCTTCTGCTCCTATAGATTTACAGCCTCAGAAACCCTAGTTGAACCCATTCGATGACAGCTAACAACAACAATCTATTTGCTCAGTGGAAGAAAATAACTTCAGGATGAGTCAGGCAGAATGCTAAAGTGCAAATGACAATCAATAGTGAAGAAAATCTCAACATTTTAAAGCCATGATATCTTTTTTATAAATCACATGCTAACCAACATTCAAGAGTCCGGTGTGGGGCTGTGGGATAAAGGACTGGACCAAAAGGCCAGTTTGAACCACAAGTTCAGTGGTTCAAACTCACCAATTGCTCCTTGGAAACCCTATACAGGGTCACTATGAGTCAGAACCAACTCAATGGCACTTAACAACAACAACAACCAACATTCAAAACATACCACTCTTTATAAAAGGAATGGCAGGGTCAAACACACCTATTATTGGCCTACAATAATTTAGCAAGTACTTTAGAGAAAAAGAATAGAATGCATTATACCCACATTTATCTATTTATTTAGAAATTTTAGACTATATCTTTCTCTGTCACCATGACAGAAATGTTGACATTAATAGCACAGTAATAGCAGAATCCTGGGGTGGTACAAATGGTCAACATACTTGGCTGCTAACCACAAAGTTGGCGGTTCAAGTCCACTCAAAGGTGTCTCACAAGAAACAGCTGATGATCTATTCCTGAAATATCCACCACGGATAACCCTATGTAGCACAGTTCTACTTTGACATACAGGATTGCCATGAGTTGGTGCTGACTTACAGCAAGTGGCTTTACAGGGTCCTTGTGTGGCACGATAGGATAAGCACTTGACTACTAACCACAAGGTCAGTGGTTCAAATCTACCAGTTGTTCCTTGACAACCCTATACAGGGCCACTAAGGGTTACCACTGACTCAATGACACTTAACAACAACAAAAGCAGAATAGGGGAAGGTGGTGGTTCTGTAGGATAAACACTGGACTTCATATCATCAATGGTTTGAGTCCATCAACTGCTTCATGGGAGAAAAATAAGGTTTTCTACTACTGCAAAGATTCGTAGCCTCAGAAACCACAATCAGGGTTCCTTTGAGTGTGAACTGACTTGACAGAACGTAACAATAACCACAGCAGAAAAACAACACTTAACAACAACAAAAACAATAGCAAAATAACAGCATGGGACAAGAATCAGACCCCATTTCTTATCTCCAGTTTTTAAAGTAAAAAGAAAAGTCTGGGGACATTTTTTCAAAGCTTTAGCTACTCACAGAAGAACTTACAATATTAAGGGAGGTAAATTATTTCTATAAGGTTAAGGTGTACATTGCTATACTGCAACAGGAAAAATGTCACATGAAGTTTAAAAGTTGTGCTTTTTATCTATAAAAAGAAAGGAGTCTATTCTTACCAGCAGTCATCTCATTTTGACACAAAATATTACGCCCTCTTTTCCACAAGGGAACAGATTCTTCTCGAGTAGTTTTAAGAGTCACACCATGATGGCTTTCTTCATAAACAGGACATCGTTGAGCGCAATATAACGTCCCATCTTGGTGAGCAACCATTTGAGTGCCAGTTGAGGGATTTATTTGTGCTAAGGTTTGGCATCCAGCTGTACAAGAAGGTAGAGATGGTATCACAGTGACTAAGTCAGAACAAGCATCTGAGAGTGGAAGTCTACTTTCTTGAGTCGGTAGATTGAAATGATATTCCATTGGAAGTACATATTTTGAATTAAAACAGTTATGTGCAATAATGTTTTGAGAATTTTCAGGCATTACTGATTGACACTGAGATACTTTTATATTTTTACCACTTCTAATATTTGATATGGATTTAGGAGGAGGATGAGGTATTATTAGTTTACCCTGAGTTTGTATAAATGTTTTGACTTTGCTTGCAGAATGTGGTTGAATGACAGTGCCTTTTCTACTGGTATATGTACAGCCTGATTGGACTTTAGCAGATGTCGTTCTTCTAATTACATTTGTACCATCACTTTGTGGCTTTGTACCTTTCTGAGTTTTAGAATCATCATAATGTGCAGAGGATTTACTCTCCTCTTTTTTTGAGGCTAGCCAGGCTTGTTTAGCAAACTTATAACCTGAAGGCACAAAAACACAGTTCAAAGGCACATGGTCTGCTTCAGATCTTTCCAAAACAGTATTTTCAGAGACAGAATCATCCTTTGGCTTTTTTCTATCGGCAGAATTTACAGCACAAGCAGGAACACTAATTACGCTGCTGGCAGCACCACTTTTATTTTGTGCGTGGAATTGACACCACTGCGGAGATGTTCTTCTATCTTTCAGTGAATGACTCTCTTCAGGATCATTTTCTATATTGCCAGTTTCATCAAACCACCTCAGTTTTTTAATAGTTTTTTGAATTTCAACACCTTTTCCCTTTTCTTTTGTTAATTCAATACTATCTCTTACAGCTGCTGCTTTTTGATTTCCAAACACGCAGTCTTGATTCATAATTAGTGCCTTAAAATAATGATGGTCATATTTAGATTCTTTCTTTAAAATACTTTTAACAAACCTTACACCATTTCTGTCATGAATGTTGTATTTCATTTTCTTGTAATAACCAACTATATCATTAGAACTTATATTAGACGATGTTTCAGGTATTTTCTGTGTTTTATCTTTTGAATAAGGGTTGTGTGGCACACAAGCAGCTTGAAGATCATCTGAAAATAAAGGCAATTCTTTCTTATTATCATTAAAATAGTGTATCTTTTCATTTTTCACATTTTCCAAGTTATCTGATTTATCAGAACACTGCACTGGGTCAATTTCTTTTATGTGTATACTGTCTTTTGGTAAAGGTCTAGCTGACTGTCTACTAGATGTCAACACTAAAGGTGTTACTACTTGTACAAATGAAGTAGAGACTGAAGTAGTTGGATTTTGTTGGGTTAATTCAGAATGTTTTTCTTGATCTAAACATGTAGCAGCTTCTCGGGTTGGAGCATCTGGAGTGGTCCAGGCTTTACTGAATTTAAATGCTGGGCTGTCAGTAACAAATGGTCTCTCCATTTTGAATACTCCAGAAGAGGGATCAGCTGTCTTAATAGTGCTAGTTTCGTAAGACTTTCCGTCTTTCTTATTTTGTACAAATATGTGTGGACTATGTACAAAGGCTACTGAACTGTTGCTAGTATTTGTAGTTTTTTCCATAGTTCTACTCAGAATAGGTAAAGTTTGTTCTTTACTACTGAGTTGTTCACATGAAGGTAGAACAGTAGGTTTACTTAAAGTATCTGAGAATGGCGTGACAGTCTGAGTATTTGGATCGTCTATATTTATAAGCCAATTATTGATATGCTGAGTTTTAGAGAATGACAGTTTATCTTCATCAAAGCAGCTTAGATTGGCTGATTGCAGATCTGCTGATTTGAGGGAAACAGAATTCTGTGGGATTGATGCGGAATAGTCGTCATTAAGTGTTAAATATATTTCTTCGTGCACCCCAGCTTCAAGACTGTCCATACTTGAAAGGGTTTCAGAATTGGTTATCTGATTTACTTCATCACAAAATTTCTGGAAAAGAAAATATTGTTTTATAATTTAGATATTTTGAAATGCCAAAATGAATGATTCAACACACCTACATTACTGAACTCAATTCTTCCTGGCACATAAAACAGTAATATGACCATAAACTTGTAGCCTCTTATCACTTAAAACAATAGGATCTGACAAATCTATATTCCTTGAACAGTACTCATGGTAAAAAATGGGGAGTTACAGACACATATATTGGCTTGAATTTCAACTGCTAAAGTAAGAACCCAATTATTCTAACCAAAACGAAAGATTAGAAGATAATTTTATTACTGATATTCCATTTACAGTATAGAGTTTCTTGAAGGTCTCTTAAGAGTAGATCAAATTCTGAAAATAGTTATTTACAAATTGCATTTTTGCCCTGAAACCTACACTGGTCTTGATCTGGGGATCTTTATAGGCAGATGGATATTATCCTATCACAGACATATGACTACAAAGAAGACCAGTTAATATGACTATTATTCAAAGTTTCACACTAACTACTAAAGTTAATGATAAAGAAATAAAGAATTCTACCAATTTCTGCAGTCAGCAATTAATCAAACATGGAATCCAGATGCACTGAAAATTATTGATGATAGGAATGTGGAAACAATGAGGAAAGATTGGTAGTGGGAAAATATAGCCTTGGTGGTAAAAACGATGCTGGAGATTGAAAGATAGAATTTTGCAAGACCAGCATTATGGGCAAAATATTGAATGATGCAGAAAGCATCAAAAGCAATACACCAAAAATAAGTGGTTGGTGTTCAACCATTTCAAGAGGTAGTGTATGATCAAGAACCACTTGTACTGAAGGAAAAAGTACAAGGTGCACTGAAGGCATTGGCAAAGAACAAGGCTCTGAGAATTGATGGAATACAATTGAAATATTTCAACTGATGCAGGACTGGAATCACTCACTCATCTAGGCCAAGAAATTTGGAAGACAGCTACTTGACCAACCAATTGGAAGAGATCCATATTTGTGTCCATTCCAAAGAGAAGTGGAAATCATTGGACAATATCATTAGTATCACATGAAAGTAAAATTTTGCAAAAGATAATTAAAAATTAGCTGCAACCAGACCTTGACAGGGAAGTGACAGAGGTTCAAGCCGGTTTCAGACAAGGACATGGAACCAGGGATACCAATGCTGACATCAGATGGATCTTGGCTGAAAGCAGAGAGTAAGCAGAGAGTACTAGAAAGATAGTTGTTGTTAAGTGCTGTAGAGCTGGTTCTGACTCATAGCGACCCTGTATTGGGTTTCTAAGGAGCAACTGGTGAGTTTGAACCACTGACCCTGCAATTTAAACCAACCTTGTGGTCTAATACTTATTCTACAGTGCCACACCAAGACTCTAGAAAGATGTTTACCTGGGCTTTATTGACTAGGCCAAAGTTTTCGACTGTGTGGATCATAACAGGCTATCGACAGCACTGTGGGGAATGGATATCCTGGAACAATTACTTGTGCTCACGAGGCACCTGAACAAAGACCAAGAGGCAGTGGTTCTAGCAACAAAATAAAGGGACGCTGAATGGTTTAAAAATCAAGGAGGGTGTGTGCCAAGGTTGTATTCTTTCACCATACCTATTCAATTTGTATGCTGAGCAAATAATTTGAGGAGCTGGATTATATGAAGAAGAATGTGGCATCAGGATTGGATGAAGACTCATTAACAACCTACAACCTTGCTTGGTGAAAGAGAAGAGGACTTAAAATACTTACTGATGAAGAACAAAGACCACAGTCTTCAATACGGGTTGTACCTCAATGTAAAGAAAACAAAAGTCCTCACCACTGGACCAAAAATAGCATCATAATAAATGGAAAAAAGCAAAGACCTCATTTTGCTTGACTCCACTATCAACACTAATGGAAGCAGCAGTCAAGAAATCAAATGACATAAGGCAAATGTGCTACACCAAACCTCCTTAAAGGGTTCAAGAGCAAAGCTGTCAGTTTGAGAGCTAAAGTGAGCATAACCCAACTTATGGTATTTTCAATATGGACAATATGGACAATGAATAAGGAAGACCACAGAAGAATCGATGCATTTGAGTGACAGTGTTGGAGGAGAATATTAAAAGTACCATGGACTGCCATAACAACAAACAAATCTTCATTGGAAGAAGTACAGACAGAATACTCCTTAGAGGCCAGGATGGCGAGACTTCATATCTCATACTTTGGACATATTATCAGGAGGGACCAGTCCCAGGAGAAGGGCATCTTGCTTGGTAAAGTGGAGGGTCAGGGAAAAAGAGAAAGACCACCAATGAAAAGGATTGTCACAGTGCCAGTAGCATAACAACCAATATGAGACTGGCACAGGACCAGGCCGTATTTTGTTCTGTTGTGCATAAGGCCTCTATGAGTTGGAACCAACTTGACGGCACCTAAAACAACAAAGCACTCATTCACTGCAAATAGCTTTTTTTCATCAACATAAACACTTACTATGTAAGAGGACCTCACCACATGGAATTCATAGGAATCAAATTGACTACATCTGTGGAAATAAATGCTGCAGAAACTTAACATCATCAGCCAAAGCAAGGCTTAGAGTGGCTGACTGTTGAACAATCAATCAACTGCTTATATGCAAGTTCAGGCTGAAGCTAAAGGAAATTAAAACAAGTCCACAAGAGCCAAAATATGACCTTGATTATACCTTGTCTGAATTGAGGACCATATCAAGAACAGATATGACCCACTGAACACTAATGACTGAAGACCACAGGGGTTGTGGGATGACATCATGAACAACACATATGACGGAAACAAAAAGTTATTAGAAAGACAGGAAAGAAATAAAATGATCAAACTGTGTCAGAAGACATTCTGAAACTTGCTCTTGAACATAGAGAAACTAAAGCACCTGGAAGAAATAATTAAATAAAAGCTGAACAGAAGATTTCAAAGGGTAGCTCAAAATGACAAACTCAAGCATTATAATGAAATGTGCAAAGACTAGGAGTTAGAAAGCCAAAAGGAAAGAACACGCTCAGCATTTCTCAAGTTGAAAGAACTGAAAAGATTCAAGCCTTGACTTGTGATATTGAAGGATTCAATGGGAAAAATAGTGAATAATGCAGGCAGCATCAAAAGAAGATGGAAGGTATACACAGTTACTATTCCAAAAATAACTGATTGGATTAAATTATTTCAAGAGGTAGCATGTGCTCAAGAACTGATGGTACTGAAAGAAGTCCAAAATACATGCAAGATATTGGAGAGAAATGAGAGATCTACCAGTTGCTCCTCAAGTGGTTACAAGTTGGGCTGCTAATCTCAAGGCCAACAGTTTGAAACTACCAGCCATTCTGTGGGAGAAAGATGAGGACTTCTGCTCCCATAGAGATTTACAGACTCAGAAAACATATACAGTTGCTGAGTCAGAACCAACTCCATGACACACCCCCACCACCACCAGTTGCTCCTCAGGAGAAAGGACGAGGCTTTCTGCTCCCGCAAAGATTTACAGTCTCAGAAACCCTATACAGAGTTGCTATGAGTCAGAATCAACTCGGTGGCACACCATCACCACTCATATCTCAGCTACGGAATATCCATTGAGATGTTTCAACAAACTGATGCAGCATTGGAGGCAATGCACTAGTCTATGCCAAGAAGTTTGGAAGACAGCTCCTGGCTAACAGACTGGAAGAGCTTCCTATGGGTGCCCATTCTAAAGAACGGTGTCCTAAAAGAATGTGGAAATTATTACACAAGTTCATTAATACCATGTGAAGTAAAATTTTGTTGAGCACAATTCAAAAACGGTTGCAGCAATACATTAACAGAGAGCTGTCAAAAATCCAAGCTGGATTCAGAAGAGGATGTGTAATGAGGGATATATCATTGCTGATGTTAGATGGATCTTGGCTGAAAGCAGAGAAGACCAGGAAATGCTATATTGACTATGCAAAGGTATGCATAGGACCATAACAAACTATGGATAATATTGCAAAAAATGGGAATTCCAGAACACTTAATTGTGCTCATGTGGAAACTATACATAAACCAAGAAATAGATGTTCAATAAACATGAATGTGTATTGAGTATTGGAAAATGCTTTGCATATGGCATGACCTTGCTAGTTGAAAGTGAAGAAAATGATAAGCACTTACTGATGAAGATCAAAGCCTACAGACTTCAGTATGGATTACACCTCAACATAAAGAAAACAAAAATCCTCACAACTGGACCATCAAATAACATCATGATAAACAGATAAAAGATTGAAGTTGTCAAGGATTTCATTTGACTTGGATTCACAATCAATACCCGTGGAAGCTGCAGTCAAGAAATCAAAAGACATTGCATAAAGAAACTGCTACAAAAGACCTATTTTAAGTGATAAAAAACAAAAATGTTACTCTGAGGAGAGTTAGGTATGCCTGATACAAGTCATCATACTTTCAATCATCTTACATGAACTGGAAAACTGGACAATGAATAAAGAAGACTGGAAAATTCATGCATATGAATTATGGTGTTGGTGAAGAAAATTGCATATGCCACTGATTGTCAGAAGAAGAAACACATTTGTCATGGAAGAATTACAGTCAAAATGCTCCTTAGAAGCAATAAAGATGAGACTTTGTCTCATGTACTTGGACATGTTATCAGGAGGGACCAGTCCCTAGAGAAGGACATCATGCTTGGTAAAGTGGAGGGTCAACTAAAAAGAGATGGACTCAATGAGATGGACTGACATGATGGCTGCAACAACAGACTCAAGTACAGCAGCAAATGTCAGGATGGCCCAGGACTGGGCAGCATTGTTTTCTGTGGAACACAGGGTTGTTGTGGGTTGGAACTAACTCGTCAGCATCTAACTTTAGGAATAACAAAATCTCGGTGATCCTAATATGAGAGTTTCCTTTTGATAAGGAATACATTTAAAAAAAAAAAATTAAAGTTAATCTTATTATTTAGAGTAGATGTTCTCAATTCTGGCTCTACATGAGAATCAT